GGGCTACATAGCGAGTCCAGGCTAGTCTGAACCACGTAGTGAGACCCTGTATCCAAAAAGAAAAGTCCCATGGGGCTGGGGATTTAGCTCAGCAGCGCAGCACCTGCCTGGCAAGCACGAGGTTGTGAGTTTGATTCCCGGTACCGGAAAAAAAAATTTTAAAAAGTCCCTACCACACACAAACTTCTCTGGTGTGCTTTTAATGATTTTGATAGTTTGGGAAACATGGTGGTAGCCTGAGTAGAACTCTGTCAAGTACCTTCTGCATTGAATTGTTTGTTTTGGTACCGGGAATCGAACTCACAACCTCACGCTTGCAAGGCAGGCGCTGTGCCACTGAGCTATATCCCCAGCCCCTTCTGCATTGAATTGTATTTCTTTATTCACTTACCTCCTTCCCTCATTTTAAAAGCTGTGGGTCCTCATCACTGTTACCACGTCAGGTGTTACTATGAGTACTCTGTAAATATTTGACCATTGGGTATATATTGAGGTGGATACGAAAGTAGTGTTGAATTTGGGTTTGTCTAAAGCAGAGTGCTTACAGTAGAAATCCCTATAATAATATATATGTTGACAAAAACATAGGATATAGATTCCCTAAGATTTTAGTGCCTTAGTGGTCTCGCTATGGTGTCATTTTTTCATTGTTGTGACCAAATAGGTGAGCAAGTCAGCTTAGGGAGGACGGTGTATTTCCACTCACAGTTTCGGAGGTTTTAGTCCATGGTTAGTCGGCTCCACGGCAGAAACATTATGATGGAGGATGTAGTGGAAGAGTTACCCACCTCATGGCAGCCAATAAGCAGAGCAAGGGCGGAGGGTGGAGAAAAGGGCCAGGGCCAAGATACAGCCTTCACAGGCACAGCACCAGAGACTTTCCTCCAACCAGGCCCCCCTTCCTCATAACCCATTCAGTTATAACCTCAGCAGTGGGCTGACCCATTGATGGAGTCCGTGCCCTCGTGATCCAGTTCTCCCCTCCAGGCCCCACCTCAAACGTGGCTGCATTGGGAATCCAGCCCTCAATGCGCGAGCCTTTGGTAGCCGCTTCACATTTCAGTCATATTAGATATGATTTGGTGTATGCGCTCCTACCTTGGTCTGAACTAGGCAGAAGGGAGCTGAGAAATAACTGTGGTTTTAGGAGTTTACAAGCAGCAGAGGTGACTACGTACTGAAAACAAGAATGCTGTTTGTTGGTCTGTGGTCGCTTCTGTTCCTGAGTGCAGGTTTCATTTTTCTGTCCCCACTGCCTAACCACAAGACTCATTAATGGTGCTTAATAAGTATAGCTACTTTGTATGAAAGACACTGCCGATCAAGAGGTCAACAAATGGTTTTTGAGAATCTGCCATGCGCTAGCCACTTTGCTAAGCCACAAGGGCATGACGTGAACGAGACAGTGCGGTCCCTGGCCTTGTGGGACTTGCGCTGGCACTGAGGAGACAGGCAGCAAGCGTATGAACCAGGAAGGTGGGTTTAGATGGGTACAGAGTTGTTACGAATGTGAAGCAGGGAGCACGGTAATTAACATGCTTTGTAGATGTTTTACTCACCAACACTGGAGAGAGAGAAGAGAGAGAGAGAGAGAGACAGAGGCTGAAGGGACGGCTCTTACAGCCAGTGTGCTCGTACGGGGGAGCCAGAGGAGTACGAGAGAGGGTACCGGGATGTGTAGAGATGTGTTTTTTTACTCACCTGCGGATGGCCATTATGATAGGGCTGCTGTGAACGTCAGTGTACAAGCTTTTGTGTGGACATCCGTTTTCAGTTCTTGAGTATATGCCTACGGCAGAATTGGGGCCTCACACAGTTGCTTTATGTGAATTGTCTGAGGAACTGTGGATTGTTTGCCAAATCAGATGTACCATGTTGCATTTCCGGCCACTGTAGGTGTTCTCTTTCTTCATAGCCTTGCAGACCTTTATTGTCTGGCTTTTTGATTATCTTGGTAGGTGCAAACTTGTATCTCGTAGTGGCTTAATATGCATTTCCTGGGTGACTGATAGTCTCAGGGTTTCTGTTTTTCTATGTGATGGCCATTCAAATCCTTTGTCAACTTTTTAATTGCATTATCTTTTTATTACTGAGTTATAAGAGTTGTGTATACATTCTAGACACAAATCCCTTACCAGGTAGAGAATTTAAATGTTTGCTCCTATTCTGCAGCTCATCTTTTCACTTTCATGACAGTGTCTTTAAAGCACAAAAATTTGATCTAGCCCAGTTCACTCGTATGTATATATATTTTTATGGTGTCATATGTAATAATCTGTTGCCCAATCTGAGGTCATAAAGGTTCACTGCTACATTTTCCTCTAAAGACCCATTCTATTCCACAAAATCCCTTAAAGTGCGTGGCTTATTTCTCAGAGTTCTAGAAGCTGGAAGCCCAAGACCAAAGCACCAGTGAATTTGGTATTGTGTGAGGGCCCATTTTCTGGCACAGAGATGGCACCTTTTCATTGCATGTTTGTGTGCTGGGAAGACAGCTCTCTTGGGGCCTCTTTCTTTCTTTTCTTTCTTTCTTTTTTTGGGTACCAGGAATTGAACTCAGGACCTTGCACTTGCCAGGCAAGTGCTGTGCTGCTGAGCTATATCCCCGGCCCCTTGTGGGGCCTCTTTGATCAGGGCATAAATCCCGTGTATGAGGGCTCTGCCTTCACAACTAATCACCTGTGGATGGTGATGGTGCCTGTAACACTGTACGCTAGTAAGACTGAGGGTAGGGGCCCCACAGCCTGGAGAGCCTTGAGGAGGAGGCTGACCAGCAGAGAGACCACGGCATACTTAGAGGGTTGTGACTCTCAGCTCCACCCCTGCCTGCGGGGAGGAGGAGGACTGAAATGTCCTCCAGAAGCCAGTGGCGTGGTCAGTCACATCTACATAAGGGTAGGTGCTGCCAGAGAGGGCATGGAAGCACCTTGCCCCTTGCCACAAGCTTCGCCCTGTGACTTTTATCTGGCTCGTCGCCTGTATATTTGGTAATGTCCCTTTAAGACATGGGTGCCTGCTAGAGTTTGTTCTTCAGTGGTCCTCAAAGGCCATGTGTTGAAGGCGTCATCCCCCACCTTGGTGCCGAAGGAAGGTGGTGGAAACCTGAAGAGATGGAGCCTGGTGGCAGATACACCCGTCCTGGGGGCTGCGTCCTTGAAGGAGACTGTGGGACCCTGGTCTTTCCCACTTTCTCTTTTGTTTCCCAGCCAAGGGGTGCGCACCCCCTGCTGCTTTTCGCTGCGTCTCCCCACGCCCATTTGATCATGGACCGGCTCTTCTGCAACTGTGAGCCAGAATAATCCTTTTTTTCTTTAGAAGTTGATCATCTCAGTTATTTGGCACAGTAACTGAATAACAGGAAGCTGACTGATGTAGTAGTGCACGTAAGCGTTTTCCTGAGTTCTCCGAGCCATTCTAGCAAATTAACCAGACCCGAGGAGGAGGGGGATCCCGGGATTTATAACCAGCTGGTCAGAGGCAAGGCTCACAACCTGCGCTTGTGACTGGCCTCTGAGGCAGGAGAGTCTTGTGGGACTGAGCCCTCAACCTGTGGGAATCTGGCGCCATCGCCAGCTAGAGAGTGTCAGAATTAAATTAAATCAAATCCCAGGGCGCCCAGCTGGTGTCTGCAGGCTAATCTGCCAGAGAATTGTTCGGGTGTATGTGGGGAGAAATCCCACGTCCATTTTGGTGACCAAAGGTAAAGTGTTAAGTGTTGTACTGAGTGACAGCAGAGAGTACGGAGGAAAAGCGCTTTGGTTTTTCTATCTCTACTGAGCCCCAAATGAGGAAATACATTTTCAAACACACTGAGAACATTTACAACAGCTCACCACCGTACAGAGAGCCAAAATCTGTCTCCCTGAGCTTCCTATCTTCTGATCCTAGTTCTGCCAGCTGGAGCCCAGAGACGTGTTACTTTCCCGGTAATAACCCTTCCAAGGTTTAAAGATAGCTTCCGTGCACCCAGGGAGTCCTGTCTCCTTCACATTCAATATTTCCATTTTCCTTCTGCAGCTCTCCCAGGACGTAGATTTCCCTTCTCTCACTGTCCAGGCTACCTCTTCCGAATATATCCAGTTGACGCCTTTATCTAAGGCCCATCTTTCATTGTAGGGGAAATTAACACTGCGCAAGGTGTTTCCCACACACTGCCTTACGTAAGCCTTGTAATTGCCTTAGGAGGCAGGCAGCCATAGCTTTATTTTATAGATTTACCTCATTGCTCTACTTGGGGCATTGGCCAGATAGGAGGATAGAAGATGACCACATCGGGGTGCGTCCTAGTGCGCTCACCAGAACAGAAAACGCTGGGGATCTGGTCGAGCAGGCAGCAGAGGTCTCCCCTTGGATGTCTAGTTGACTTCTCAGACCTACATGTCCCACACCGGTCTCTAACCCTGCACGAAAACGAGCTGTCTCCCAGTTCTCACCTCTGAGCCTGGTGTCACCACTCGCTTAGTTGTTCAGGCCAAAAACCTTGGGGTCATCCATTCCTCCTGCTCTGCCATCAGTCAGTCCTTCCAGAGCGTATTGCAAATCCGGCCACCTTTCCCAAGTCCAGGCTCCCACTGCTCTGCCTAGACCTAAGGATAGTCTTCGTAATTTATTTTCTTGCTTCTGTGGTGGTTCTCCCACATTCTCTTCCCCACACTAGAAGCAGAAGGATCCTTTTATTTGTAAATTAGATCTTGTTTCCTCTTGAAGTCGTCCCTACTGTCTTTTAGTAATTAGGATTAAATCCAGAATCTGTGTGGCTCTCAAGGTCGTGATCGGACCCCTGGCTACAGCCATAAGCTGATTCCAACACTGCACGCGTGTGCACAAACACACACACACACACACACCACTATACCTATCCCGATCCCTATCCCTCTACCTATCCCTAGTGGCTAGGGCAGTTCCTGCCACACAGAAAACCTACAGATATCTGAGTGAGTGAATAAGCCTTTGACATTCGGGGGTGCTGCAGAGGATCTGCAACTGATCTCCAGTGGTGGGTGCACCGATGCTCTCCTGCGGCTCCGGTGCTCTGCTACTGCCCGGCGAAGAGAAAGCTATGGTGCTCTGAGTCCCCGGGAACATGAAAATTGATGCTGAAAATAAGGCCCCAATTGGTGCGGCAGGTGCAAAGCATGTGCCCACGGTCGCTACGCAAGGTCTGAGGCCAAGAAGAGCTTTTGGAGACATGAGTAGCAGAGTCAGCGAGCAGCTACGAGCCAGAGTGCCTCTGAAAAAGGAAGCAAAAATAACTTCAATAACTTCAGCCACTGAAAAAGTTATTGCTAAAAAGCTACGGAAACCTCTGGAGAAGATGCCTGTCGACCCTGAACCGGAGCCTGTTAAGGAAGACAAACTCCCCCTGAACCTTTCTATTGGGGTTGGCACTCCCTGTCCAAGCCGGATGCAAACATCTGGCCGGGCCCCTGCAGAAGGATATGTTTGTCAGGCTTTCTCTGATGTAATTCTTCCAGTGAATGTTACGGATGCAGAAGATGGAGCAGATCCCACCCTTTGTGGTGACTATGTGCAAGATAGCTCTGCTCTGCTCAGAGCAAATACAGACTGGGTCGAGAAGTCCCTGGGAACATGCGAGCCGTCCTAATGGACTGGCTGGTACAGGTTCAAATGAAATTCAGGTTGCTGCAGGAGACCGTGTACATGCCTGTTTCCATTATTGATCGGTCCACGCAGAATAATCAAGTGCCCCAGAAGATACTGCAGCTGGTCGGTGTCACTGCTGTGTTTGTTGCAAGCAGATATGAGGAAATGTACCCTCCAGAAATCGATGACTTTGCTTACGTGACTGACAACACTGACACTAAACGCCAAATCAGACAGCTGGAGATGAAGATTCTAGAAGTTTTAAACTTTGGCCTGAGCCGCCCTCTATCCTTGCACCTTCTTCATAGAGCAGCTAAGATTAGAGAGGTTGGTGCTGCACAACATCCTTTGGCTGAATACCTGACAGAACTAACTACACTGGGCTGTGACTCGGGGCGCCTTCCTCCTTCTCAAAGTGCAGCAGGAGTTTTCTGCTCAGCACGGAAAATTCTGGGTAATGGTGAGTGGACACCAGCTCTGCAGCACTGTCTGTCTCACACACTGAAGAGCCCCTCCTTCCTGTAGTGCAGTACCTGGCTCAGAATATAATCATAGTGAGTCACGGGCCTACAAAGCACATGACTATCAAGAATGTCTTAGGTACTTCTCTCATTGCTGTGACAAAATACCCAACACCCAAGTTAAAGGAGGAAGGTTTATTCAGCTCGCAGTTTGTAGAGGTTTCAGTCCATCGGCTGCCTCCGAGGCAGGGTGGCACATGGCACCCTGCTCACGCGAGCAGAAGGTAGCAAAGCAACAAGGGGCAACCACAACTCTTTCTACCCCCTTCTATCTTATCCAGCTATGCAGGGCAGTAGCACTCGCACCCTTAATCCTAGTGCCCTGAGTTTAGCATTGCGCCCTGAATCAATCCTGGTGTCACACCCTCTAGATCCAGCCACCTCTGAAAAAGCCCCAGCTATGACCGCATGAGGCTCTGGGGGAGATCCAGACACAAGCCGTAACAAAGAACAAGCATGCCCCATCTCAGCGTGCTACGAGCAGCATTCTAGCACAGCTGAAGTATGCGTTAGTTGAGGATTTGGCCGAGGCTGTGGCAAAGCTGTAACCTGTGGACTGGAATACTATATCTGCAAATAATATCAGCACTCTGTGCCACCTGTACATACTAGCTGCACTTACATACTCTTTAATACAGGCTGTGGCCCTTTTTACTTTTCATACCTTGAAAAAAAATACTTTGATGTGCAAACATTGCAATGGGCTGGGACCATGAGTTCTGTCCTCAGCTCTGCAAAACAAAAATAAAAAAATCTTCATTGGCTCCCAGTTGCCTGGGGCAGGGTTTTTTACACTGGTACTCTTGACATTTTGTGCTATATACATATATGTGTATGTATACATACACACACACGTATATGTATACATATACATATACTCATTCCTGTGCATTGCAGTGTTTAGGGATACCTCTATCTTCTACCCACTACATGTTGGTAGTTTCTACCCCCACCCCGACAATCAGAAATACTGTATCTTTGTACTTTACCAGTATATCCTCAAGGGTAAAAACCCTACAACTTTTTGTCTTTGGTACTGGGAATCAAACTCAGGACCTTGAACTTGCTAGGCAGGTGCTGTGCCACTGAGCTATATCCCTGCCGCGCCCCCCCAAAAAATCCCTACAACTGAGAACCACCGGCCTCAAGCAACCAAACCCCTAAATCAGATTCACCTGAGAACTTCAAAACTAAAAGGCAAATCCCAATCTTTATAGGAGGGCCATAGACTCAGTATCTCCTGAGGCCTAGGTCCAAAGTATCTGGTCAGTGATAAGGAATGGCCCAGCCCTAGAAGGTGAACCCAAAACATTTTGTCATCTGCCCCTTTTTCCTCTCTCTGCCTTGCTTTTTCTCACCTGGTCTTCCAGCCCTACCATGCTGCTTTTGCTTCTCCGTTTCTCCACATGCATTTCTCCTTCCCTGGCACAGAGGCTGCTAGGTTGCTTGCTAATTCCCACTTCCTCTTTCTTCATTAGTAACAGAATCTTGTCGCGTTGAGTCGTGACTGTGTACCCGGTTATATAACACATTCCACAGCCTTCCTTACAGATGGTGGTGGCGTTCCCCTCCTCCCTCTCCTCCTCCTCCTCATTCTTTATTGGAAAAAAATTATACATGAGTTACATTTTGATGTCACAGGCTTCAAAAATATAAATGTTACATCTTTTAGAGGTCTTCCTCCTAGAAACGGCCACCATCAACAGTTTGGTGTGTAGTCTTCTGAGCTCTTTCTGTGAATTTAAATCTATTTTCTGCCTAGTAATCCCAATGTTTTTGATTCTCTATTTCCTAAATAATATTCACCCAGCCTTTTTCATTGAGGATTTTAAGGTACGTTTCTTTTTAAGGAATCCCTTCCTAAGGGGGAAAAAATCCTGAAATTTTAGGTTAAAGAAGTATTAGAGGGCCGGGCATGGTGGCGTACACCTGTAATCCCAGCACTCGGGAGGCTGAGGCAGGAGGATCATTGCGAGTTTGAGACCAACCTGGGCTACAAAGTGAGCTCAAGACCAGCCTGAACTGCATAGTGAGACCCTGTCTCAAAAAGAAGAAAAAAAAAAAAGAAGTATTAAGGTTCTCTGGAGAAATAGAACAAATAAGGTGTTCTAAGAGGAGATTTATTACAGGAATTGACTCATACTGTTACAGAGGCCGAGAGGGCTCATGATCTGCAGCCACAAGCAGGAGAAGCAGGAAAGCTGGTGGTGTAGGTCCCAGTCTGAGTCCAGAGGGCCAGGAGCCAGAGCACAGATGCCCACGGGCAGGAAAAGACGATGTCTCAGCTCAGCAGGGACAGCAAGCACCCTCCCTCCAGCTCTCTTTTCTTCCCAGGCCCTTAACAGATTGCACGGTGCCCACCCACACTGGTGACAGTGATCTTTTTTACTCAGCCTACTGACTCGCAATGCTGATTCCTGTTTCTTCTGGAAACAGCCTCACAGACACACCCAGAAATAACGCTTCTCAGACCACCTGGGGCTCCTTTACCCCAGTCAGGCTGACAGAAAATAAACGTCACACATCTGCCTCTTGTCACTGTCACATCCACGTGCAGCTCCGTAAGCCCAACCTCACCTCCAAACGAAGACTGACAAGGTCGCAGTTCTGCCTCATACGATGTCACTAACCCGCATCCAGCCAAATTTCTGTCTTAGTTCGTTTGAAACAATGAAATACCATAAACTGTGTACCTTAACCACAGTGAAAATTTATTCCTCACAGTTCTGGGAGCTGGGAAATCCAAGATCAAGGTGCTGGCAGATTCAGTATCCCGTCATTGACAGCATCCTTTGGCTGTAAGTTGCCATGGTTAAGGGTCAGGGTTCATATAAGGGCACTAATTCCGTTTCTGGGGCCTCCCTCATGGAGAGCACATTGCTCTTTTAACTTTAATCATGTCTCCTGAGTTTGCGTTCTTGTTTTCTGCAGTGTACTGAAAGCCCATTTTTCTTCTCGGCCAGGTGAAAGTTAGGTCATCTTGACAGTATCATTTTCAGAGAGGAAAACCTCATTGTCAGGATAGAGGTGCCTGCTGGCAAAGTAGGCAACAGGGCCATAGATCTAGGGCTGACATGTAATTTCTTTTTCGTTTTTCTGACATGTAATTTCTAGTCCAAAACAACTTAGCAGAGCTTTCCTGTATTCAAGGCATTGTTGGAGACACTGAGAAAAAAAACAAAGAAATAAGGAAGCCATCCTAGCTGTGTAAGAAGCTTGCAGTTATTTTGGAAGAATACCAACAATACAAAATTGTTTATTTCTCTATACTTAAAAACCAGAATCTACAAATCTTACGTTGTGATTTCTCCCTGTGTAAACATGAGGCTCTGATGTCTGCTGTATTTCGCTGCACATTCTAACACGGGAGCTCCAAGCACGGATTCGAGGTGAAGTAAACCAGAAAGATGACAGCAGTGAGCTGAGGGTGGCTTCGTGGTACAGCGCGTGCCTATAGCGTGCACGAGCCCCTGAGTTCTATCCCCAGCACCGACAAAACCAAAAGGCCCACAGGTTTAAGGCCATCTCTGCAATGAAGTGTGAGCTCATTTGGAAAAGAAACTGTGTCAGTTGCCGGGGTTTGATGTGAGGATTTCTATGCACTGTCAGAAGGCTTTACTGATAGAACAGGGCTGGGCGTGGTGGTACACGCCTGTAATCCCAGCACTTGGGAGGCTGAGGCAGGAGGATTGCTGTGAGTTCGAGAACAGCCTGGGCTACAAAGTGAGCTCAAGGCCAGCCTGAACTGCACAGTGAGACCCTGTCTCAAAAAGACAAAAAAAAAAAAAAAAAAAAAAAACAGAGCGGGATCAGTTGCAGAGCAATTGATGTCTCGCATTCTTGTTCCCTTCCCATTGTTCCCATTCCTTGTTCCCTTCCCTTCCCTTTCCTCCCAGCACAGGGGCAGAACAAATGCGGCAGAAAGATGAAGAGCGGGATTCCAAGCGAGAGTCAGATGTGCTCTGGCGGTGACTGAAACCCATCCTCTCTCAGCTGGTTTAACACTGGGCCCTAAAGAAGCCCGGGTTTCGCAGGTTCACGTGTGACTGCTCCAGCAGACCACTTGGCCACACCGCTGTGCTAATTGTCATACCGGTCTGAGTGTTGATAAACCATTTGGATGCTCTCAGACTTTAAGGGGAGGCGGAGTGGTGGAGGTTAGCAGTCGGGGCTGTCTGCGTGCAGCCCTTACCTTTCCCCATAGTGTGCTTCTTCCGGAGTCGGCCGCTGTCTCGTGCCAAGTTCTAGAATAGCCCGTGTTACTGTGATCTGAGCTTCTACTCGCACTCCTGCCCAGGCAAGTTTTGCCCAAATGATTTCCAGCTGTGACATGATTTAAACTTTTATTGCCTCATTATCCAAATTTCCTCACTGAAGAAAACTGAGAGAAACTGAATCAATAGTTGAAGGAAAAAAAAATCACCCAAGCCAAGAACAGTGCTGCACGCCTGTAATCCCAGCACTTGGGGGGCTGAAGCAAAGAAATCATTGTGAATTCGAGGCCAGCCTGGGCTACATAGTGAATTTAAGTCTGCCTTGGACTTGAGTCTGTCTCAAAAAACAAGAACAAACCACCCAAAATTCTTCCACCCCAACCATTGTCAATACTGGGGATGTTTCTCATTTGTCAGTATCTAAATATATGTGTATAAAACTATGATTGAGAAATATATAATTTAGATCGGTGTAAAAGGCAACTTTCATCTTGGTCTTGTCACTGTGTATCAGATTACATCTAGCTCCCTATGTCATGGATTTGCAAACATAATTTTTTTGTACACACTGAGTTGTATCTCCAGCCATTTTAAAATTTTCTATTTTGAGACGAGTTCTTGCCAAGCCACTAAGTTCCCAAAGCTAGGCTCGCACTTGGGAGTCCTCCTGCCTCAGCCTCCCACAGTATTAAGATTACGTGTGTGCACCACCACGCCCAGCTGTGAACATAATTTTTAATGGCCCACGCCATTGTTGATGGAGCCGGGTGAATGCTGGGATCTCCACAGCTCACAAATTAGGAGCTGTTGGGAGTGAAGGGAAGAAGTCAGAGAGAAAAGCCGGAAATCTTCTATGCAAGCTTCTCTCTTTAAGAGAAAAGGTAGGGTCATCTCAGAAATGTTTGGTGGCTAACAGTGTGGACTGGCCCCAGCCTGCCCAGCTGCAGCCTCAGCTGTACCACTCACTGGCTGCGTGACCTCAGGCAGGCTCTTTTGCCTTAGCTTTCCCATCAGTGAGGTAGAGATGATAATCGTTCCTTCCTCACAGTGTTTTGAGGAAGAGTCGCAATGTGCACATGGGTCAGTGCCTGTCATCATCCCAAAGGCAGTCTAAGTTGGCTACTTCCCTTAGCTATGGGAAGAGGTCCCACAGTGAGGGTGGGTGAACTGTATGTAACGCTTTTATTTTCTATGCGTCTGCTCTCATGTAACAGTTTTTATGCATTTCAATAGGGTCCTTCATTTTGCTGAGGAACAAATGTGTTGCTTCAGTATGGATATTAGAATTTAATTCCGAAGGGAAAGAAAATACACTGAGGGAAATAAAATCCTCTCATAAACTTAGCATATCATTAACTTTTTTTTTCCTTCAAAAGATGCCAGTGGCCTGATT